AACACCATTGTCTATGAATAGATGGCAGCACAATACAGTCTTAACGGAGTTGATAAAAATTCAGGACAATAGGTCTGAGGTTCACCCCTCTTACATTTATGGTCACAGGCGCATGAAACTTTGCTGAATTACAGTTGAAACAATAGCAACCCCACCCAAACGATTTTCCATCCCTGAATGATGACAACAGCTTCAAATCATTGGTGCAAAATTGGCTACCATGCATGGGTTAGGACAGGCCATTCCGAGACCATCTGAACATTGAACTTAATTTTTTTTAAAGAAATCTCATGTATATGAAATCCATTTTAGTGCTAATTTCTTACCATCATCCAAGACATTCATCAAACAATAAAATTGATTCAAAACCTGGCAAGTCATTGAAGAATTCTGACCAAGGGTGGTCAGGACAGCAATTTGCCTCCTAACCTCAGAATCACCCACTTATGTACGAATGTTTTCCTTGTTCTAACACATACTGTGGTATGGTTGCACAACAACACGATATGAGAAAGCAAAAGATATAACGTGTCGTAAGGTCTGTCTATGATTCCGTTGGTAGAACTATCGATAGTTGCGAGAGTTACGTAATAGACTGTCTGTCTGTGATGTTACACACTCCTTATCCTTATAGTTGTACTCCGATAAACCCATTGACGTACTGCGTAGGTTCGGGGAAGACGACACTCCTCAACGTGCTTGCCGGTAGGATCCTGCAGAGGGAGCAGGGCTCGATATGGCTGGACGGACACGAGTTTAACAAGTCTCTCAAGAGAAAGATCGTGTATGTGATGCAGCAAGACATTTTCTTTAACAACCTGACGCTACGGCAGTCACTCAGGGTGAGTTAGTCCAACCCAGGATGGCTTAGATTGAATCGGAGTGGTCAGGGTGTGGATGTCAGGGTATTTAAGGGCGAGTCAGTGTGGACATCATTGTCGTCAGAGATCGGGGGTCAGGGTGATCAGGTTAAAGGGTTTAAGTTGGTCTTTGTGGTCGGGATGAGGAGATCAGTATTAGGGGACGAGGGTGGTTTAATACCAGATGATTATGGTAGGAATAATGAGGGGATGAGGTTGATTATGGTGAGGGGGTGATGGCGGTCAGGTTAGGGAGGGTAGATGGGTCGAAGTGTTCAAGGTATTCATGGTGAGGGTGGTGCAGTGCGTTCAGGGTGTTCATGGGGAGGGTGGTCAGTGCGTCCAGGGTGTTCATGGTGAGGGTGATCAGTGTGTTCAGGGTGTTCATGGTGAGGGTGTTCAGGGTGTTTATGGTCAGTGTGTTCAGGGTAATATATATATATATGTGTATATATATAAGAGTTACAGACACGCGGAGACAATAAAGTTAAAATTAAAGTTAATAAAGTTCTCAAACCCAAAATACGCGGGAACGCACTTGTCAGACTACGAGATTTTTCGACTATTTTTGTCACGGAGACAAGTCTCGCACTCGCGACAGATCAAAATCGGACGAGAGCTTTTAAGTGGGCTGCGTTTTTTTTTTGCTTATAAATGTGTGGCGCGAGATGTACGTATACCGGTATACGAAGCCAACGCAGAAATTCAGGTCTAAGTTTTCAGAGTTTGCGCCGGTGGGCATCAGTACCTGCAACACAGCTCAATAACTAATGCATGCTAGCTCGTCGTGCTGCGGGTTCGAGTTTATCCCTCGGGCACGGCCGGAATTCCTGTGCTCTAAGTACTAGTAGGTCATACTATTTTCACACCGCGTGTCTACCAGAAGCAGCACTCCGATTACGTGCGTAGCATGCTATAGACGCGTACTGTACCAAAATTAAGCATTCTAGTTATTACAGCCGGTGACAATATTTATAGCTTGACTGGGATCTGCTATCAGCAGTCTATCAAAATAGCGAATGCATTTGTCCGTCTGTGGGTCGATCATCAATAGTATAAGGACGTTAATATAAACAGCTCCCCCCTACACGGGTTCTCATATTCCAGGCAGAGGGTTGAAGGGCATTTAGAGGGTAAGTGCTTAGTCACTGTACCTAATCACAAACCATGTTAATTAGCGTGCATGATCAATAATTATTGTTCTCGTTACTGTTCTTGAAAGGCTCATGAATTATATACGAGCAAGAATAGCGATCGAGCAAATATATTATCCTTATCAGAAGGGCGAGGCATTGATTTGCCAGCTAATATCGCGTGTAAAATAATATTATTTACTTCTTCCGAAATCAATGTTGTACTGGACAATGGCAATATGACACACTATGGCAATTTGCGAGCATATCACATATTGTTGGCTTACGATTACAAACTATACTTGGGTGATTCTGAGGTTAGGGGGCAAATTGCAGTTTTAAATGACTGTATTTTTTTTATTATCCCTTTGGCATATTTATGGAATTTTTCCAATATTTGTTACACCGTGGCCCTGAAACCACAAAGATTATTACACTTTTTTACTTTTTTACTTTTTTGTATACCTTTATAAGGGCCTATACATCAACTCCGTTACAATTTTGTAACGGAGTTGATGCATGTAATTCCGAGTTGATAATTTTGTCATGTTTGACCTTGTTGGTTCCACATGGAGCAAGGGCAAGATGCAAATAATATGTTTTATTCAAGAGGTCAATATGCCTGTCTTCCTCAATTTATGATGTTTGGTTTCTATGGTTACTTATCATACAATTTGCGTAACAGAGGTGATGAATGCATTTAAGTACGCATTTATTTTTGGCAAATTTTCCCCTTGAAATGTGATGCTGGCAGACCAAATCAGACCAATCAGACCAATCAGACCAAATATATACGCTATATTTGAGATACGTGCAGTAAATGTTATTCGTATACGATGAATAAAACCATCCGTTGTATAAAGACTATCTAAGGACATATGGTGGCGGTGGGGGAGGTGGAGCAGAGGGAGGGAGAATTGGATGGGGGAAGCTAGGTTACCTATAGCTTTCCCCCACCGCATCTACCTCCCCCAGTTTCTTTTTCCGCCTCCTCTATCATCCCATCCACCCACCTTCTCCACTTCCCCCTCCTGCTCCACATCCCCCTTTTCGACCTTCCCTATATCTCTCACTCCTCCTCCTCCTCCTCCTCCTCCTTCACCTAGCTCGATCTCCATTACCCCAATTCCGCCTCCCCCTTTTATGTACACGCGGCTGCCGAGTATATATAGCCGCCAATTCCCACAAATCTAGTAACGACTTTTTGATAAAAAAATAAATAATATAGTATCCTAGAGTTATAACTTTTATTCCACGCAGATTTGTTAGTGCAAGTTTATGCATGACTAACGTTTGTTCATGGTTAAGACAAAGTTTATAAATAACGTTTACTTTCACCACCTCGGAACCCTAGATAAACGTTCAGTACTGGTTTGTAATAGGTGTGCAGCTAACGTTTGTTTCTGACCATATAAAAATGTTAAATAACGGTTAGTTCAACGTTCATGGCTAACGTTTGTTCATGGTTACGACAAAGTTTATAAATAACGTTTATTTTTACCCTCTCGGAACCCTAGATAAACGTTCAGTACTGGTTTGTAATAGGTGTGCAGATGACGTTTGTTTCTAACCATTTGGCAACTGGGTGTTTCTGAGATTAGGGGGCAAATTGCTGTCCTGACCACCCTTGGTCAGAATTCTTCAATGACTTGCCATGTTTTGAATCAATTTTATTGTTTGATGAATGTCTTGGATCATGGTAAAAAATTAGCACTAAAATGGAATTCATATACATGAGATTTCTTTAAAAAAAATTAAGTTCAATTAAATTTTCAGATGGTCTCGGAATGGCCTGTCCTAACCCATGGTAGCCAATTTTCCACCAGTGATTTGAAGCTGTTGTGATCATTCAGGGATGGGAAATCTAGTTTGGGTGGGGTTGCTATTGTTTCAACTGTAATTCAGCAAAGTTTCATGCGCCTGTGACCATAAGTGTAAGAGGGGTGAACCTCATACCTATTGTCCTGAATTTTTATCAACTCCGTTACGACTGTATTGTGCTGCCATCTATTCATAGACAATGGTGTTAACCAATGACCAATCAGATCCATTATATATATATATATATATAAATATATTACTCATGTCACGTTTACGTTACCTCGTTAGGTTATTACACGTTTAACTTAACTCTTAGCTATTCTACGGGTTAATATTGTAGCCCCCGGCGCCGCTCCTCGTCTGTCTTTCCCCGTCGTGTGCGCCGCAGATCGGCGCGAGTTTGTCGGTTGGCAGTGTGTCTCCCTGTCCGGGATAAGTAATAGCTCCGGGTCCCTCCCTTAGTATAAGATATAGCTTCTCGGGCGTTGTCCTGCTCGTGGGTGGCTCTCCCTCCGATGGTGTGTGTGCGCTCCCTTGAGCGTGTTCGTACGTTCGTTCGTTCGTTCGTCCGTTCTTGGCCGTCCGAAGACCGACTGATTTTACCGTTGGATCTTGGCTGCTTATATAGGACCCTGCGGTGACGTAGGATCCTGTCAGTGCCTCCCTCTCACGTGCCTCGATCAGGTGCCTAGCCGTTGTCACTTCCTCGCTTAACACGTGCACGAGTGATGCAACTCCCTTGGTCCAGTATATGTCCGAGCGTCGCCCCCCCCCCCTGTCCGCCACGTGCTCGGCCGGTGCAACTCTCTCGCCCTGTGCGTGTACATAGTGGCGCAACTCCCTTACCTCATACATCTGGTAGCTAAGGAATCCCCTCCACCGCGCCTGTCTGTGTCGTTGGGGAAAATTTTCTATCTGTCGCTAGGGGAACTTTTTAACGACCTTACATCGCCGAGGTCGCGTTCGCTTGCCTTTGACATTTGGAGTCGAGTTTGTCATCTATTGATAATTCCAGCACAGAATGTCGCGATGTCACACCATTGTGTGTACGGTGACCGTGTAACGCATTCGGGGGCAACGATGAGATAATGGAAAAGTTAGTGGCATAGTTGAAAAGACGTATGTTCAATGTTACTACTGTGCTGTGCTATGCATGGTCATTGAACCGACATTGTGGGTTCAATAACGCATGTAATACTGTGCTGTGCTATGCATGGTTATTGAAAGGTCGTTCAAAGCTATACCCCGCAGTGGCGGATTGAGGGTGATGGGCGGATTGATTGGCTCGCCATGCCCACGTGTCAACTCGACCCACCAGCCAACTCGGTCCGTGTGGCGAGTTGACGCGTCTGGAGATCGGTGAGCTCGGCTCGTGGGATGAGTTCACCTTCCTGGAGATCGGTGAGCTCGGTTTGCCGGCTAACTCGTGTACTAACTCTAATATCTCGCGAACAATTATAGAGTTACATTTCTAAAATTCTAGATACATATAAACACATGTCTTAGCTATGGTTTCTGTGAATTTTGAGTATATTGAAGCACGACTAACAGTATATATATATATAATAAGGTGTGTGTGTGTGTGTGTGTGTGTGTGTGTGTGTGTGTG